ACATTTGGGTTAGCTCAAAAGCCAAAATCTCCAGAGCCGATGAATGAACCAGAAATTTCCAAAAGTTGTACACCCAGAAGATTGACCGACCGGATCAGAAAGCCTGTCACACGAATGCAACTGAACCCACAACTTCAGTCGTACGAACAATGACTTCAAAGGGGAGATGTTAGGAGGCACTCCTCCTACGAACATACTGCTCACATTTCTCTCTCTATATTTCAGCCTTTCATTGGACTGTTTGTTCCATTCCATTCCTGATTCTTCGAATCTCGATATTGGCTGTTCAGTTGCCGCGGTATAATTTCCTCAAGGCTTTTTGCTTCTCAATTTTCGTGTGTAACTGACAAGGTTGATTGACTGATTAGTAGAGAACATAACACGAATGGAATGCAAACTTCGACTTCCCGCGGGAAAACATACCGAGGATTTCTGGTCGACTTTTGAAACTGCATGATCCAGCTGATGCTGAGAGTAAGAGAACTCCTATAGAGAACACTTGTAGGTAAGTTGGTTGGTTCCGGGTTCAAACCACGAACCTTCTGGCCAGTATATCCGCACTCTAACAACCGATTTATATCGTGTTCACTAAGCTACCTCGAGCCGAGAGTATGCTGAAATTGGCTGGCCAGGCAGGCTGCTGCAGAAGCCTCAATGGCCTGAGGATCCACGTAATACCGTGTCCGGCGTCACGCCCCAATTCTGACTTCGTGGAGGAGGATTGTATCGAGTAGATGTATCCAAGAGAATCTAGTGGTGCTGTTTAAAGCCTCACGCATGCAAAACTTGGAGAGGGTCCCTCACCAGCACTCTTCGGCTTTCGCTCAAGGACCTTCTGCAACGGGTTTTCAACTTTATTCGCAGACGGACTTGGACACTGCACAAAAACGAAATTCGGGCCGTCTTCATCATGGAACTAGATCAATTTTTGGGGAGACACAATACCGTGAGCAGCTACATCCAGTGTTGACCCGAAACTGGACCGACTACAGAAGGTTGCTACACAACCGACCAACTACTTGGCATGGGCCGCAAAGATCGAGAAGGTTGAGGAACCAATCGCATCGATGCACACTTTTCCCCTGGTCTCACTGAATCACTCGACACGCAGCAATACCCCTTGCGAATTCTAGGCTTGTTCGCGAAACTGAACGGGGCTGTAACTTTGCATTAACTGATTTTGTGAAGGCATACTTGAAGACCATGTTACGGCGGAATCCGGGGAGCTTTTGACCAGTAATATGTACTGTGGTCTATTCCAGTATACTCAATTGCCATTTATTCCCATATTTTAACAAATCATGGATGTGATCCTGAAGGATCATTCCGGTGCTACCGCTTATTTAGACGATCTAGCCGTTATGGGTTCCAGTCAAGATGGGCTGTGGCAGCACGTTGATTACGTGCTCAATCGTATTCGGGGATATCGTTTTGGACACTACGGAGAAAATGCGATCACTGAAGCACCTCGTCTTCCTCGTTCAAAAGCACAGTCACAGAGCAGACCCAGATATCGAAGCCACCAAACCCATGTGTCATGACTATATAACCCATACCTTTGCATAACCCATTAACTCGTGATTCTCATTCTATTTTCAGCTCATATACTACAGTTATTAGACGATTAAAGCGTACATTACGCCTTCCTATTCTGTCCCCTTTCTAATCCCGTCCTGGAACTACTCGACTCTCGCAACAACTTAATCGTCTAATAAAAACGAAATGGATAATATTCTCCGACCTACGGTTTTTGATGATGATCCTCATTCATCAGATGGCATGAAACGATGGACTCATTGGTTGAGTACTTTCAAAGCTTACATTAACTCAATCAAGCCTGAAGGTCCAAATAAATTGGAAACTCTCATTCGTCACATCGACCATACAGTGTATGACTTCATTGCAGAATGTAGCGACTACAATTCTGCGATAACCTTGCTGGAAATACTTTACATCCGCCCGAAAAATATCGTGTATGCACGCCATCTTTTAGCCACATACAAACAAGAACCTGGTCAAGATGTCGACCAATTCGTTCAAAAACTGAAATCGCTCGCTAAAGAGTGTGAATACAAAGCAGTATCTGCTGTGGAACATACAAACGAAGCAGTTCGGGATGCTCTGATAACCGGATTGCAGTCGAATACCATTCGGGAGAAACTGCTAACGTGGCATGAATTGGACCTTGACAAAGCCCATGAAGCCGCACGAGCTCTCGAACTTGCACAAAAACAGTCACAATCATACGTATACAGACAACCCGTTACTTGTTCGGTATCTACTCCTTTACCCATTGTTAATTCCGAAACAACAGTTTCGGCCGCTACACAACAAACATGTTACTTTTGTGGCAACCCCAAGCACCCTCGTTATAAGTGTCCCGCTAAAGAATCAGTGTGCAAGAGTTGTGGAAAAATTGGACATTTTCAACGTGTCTGTAGGTCCAAAGCCTCGAAATATCACGCGGGTTCAGCTCAGGACTCCTCAATCTCCTCGCTATTTTGTGCTGCTGCTCCCAATTGCCTATCCAAAACTACAACAGATATTTTGGTCAACGGCGTTGTTGTCCGAGCTCTCATTGATACCGGCAGCTCCAGAAGTTTCGTTTCTTCATCAATCCTGCAAACTCATAACTGGGAGCTATTTCCGTACGACTCTGTGATAACAATGGCGTCGACGATACATTCATGTTCCACCAAAGGTTATTGCCTTGTGTCCATTCAGTACAAGGATGCTATATACGAACGTTTCAGACTTTGTGTATTACCGAACCTTTGTGCAGACGTCCTTCTCGGACATGACTTTCTGGGGTTACATGATAAAGTCGAAATTCCATTCGGTGGTCAACGGGGTACCCTAACTGTATGTGGCGTAACATCCGCAAAACTGGAATCTCCATCCTTATTCACCAATCTTGCTCCAAATTACAAACCGATCGCCACAAAATCTCGTCGTCATACACCGGAAGATGAACAATTCATACAAACGGAAGTAGACCAAATGCTTACCGATGGCATAATCGAACCATCAAATTCTCCGTGGAGAGCACAAGTGCTCGTTACCCGCAATGCAAATCACAAGAGACGCATGGTGATAGACTACAGCCAGACAATCAATCGCTTCACCTACCTTGACGCTTATCCTTTACCAAGGCTCGACCAAATGATTGAAACCATCGCACGCTACACTGTCTACAGCACACTGGATCTCCAGAGTGCATATCATCAGGTTCCAATAATCGAGTCAGACAAGCCATTCACAGCGTTCGAAGCTGGGGGGAACCTATACCAGTTTCGGCGCATTCCTTTTGGAGTGACAAACGGGGTCGCGTGTTTTCAGCGAACGCTGAACAATATAATCAAAGCCGAACAGGTAAAAGACACATTCGCTTATATCGATAACGTCACTATATGCGGCAAAACGAGAGATGAACATGACCGTAATCTTAGGCATTTTCTCGATGTCGCAAAAACATACAATATTACTTTGAACGATACGAAAAGCAGCTTCGCAACTGAAGAGATTACTCTCTTAGGTTACAAGGTCTCCAAAGGTATTATAAGACCTGACCCAGAACGCATGCGCCCCATAAGAGAACTCCCACTTCCAGAGAACGGGAAATCGCAGCAAAGAGCCGTTGGTTTGTTTGCCTACTATTCACAGTGGATACCGGCGTTCTCTGACAAAATTCATCCATTGGTTAAAAACAAAATATTTCCGCTCCCGGAGAATGCCCGAACAGCATTTGAGAACCTTAAACACGAACTAGAAAATGCGATGGTAGTTACTGTCGACTACAATATTCCTCTCGTTGTTGAAACTGATGCGTCCGACATCGCTATTGGTGCATCCCTGAGCCAGGGTAGCCGGCCGGTCGCCTTTTTCTCCAGAACCTTGACTGCAAGCGAGAAAAATCATTCTGCTGTTGAAAAAGAAGCATATGCTATAGTTGAAGCGATCCGCAAATGGCGCCACTATCTCCTCGGGAGACATTTTAAATTGATTACGGATCAACGTTCGGTAGCCTTTATGTATGGGAACCAACAGAAAAGTAAAATAAAGAACGACAAGATTGAACGGTGGAAAATCGAGTTGGCAGGGTACAACTACGACGTCGTCTATAGACCTGGAACAGATAACCGCGTTGCTGATACCCTATCTCGTAACCTTTGTGCCAACATTACTGGGACGGAAAAACTTGAAGAGCTTCACAACATATTATGCCATCCCGGGGTCACGAGATTTGCACATTTTGTTCGTTCTAAGAATCTTCCTTTTTCAGTCAGCGATATCCGACGTGTGGTGTCCAACTGTTCCACTTGCTCCGAGCTCAAACCAAAATTTTGTGACACCTTTCGTGGCCAGCTTATCAAAGCCACACAACCGTTCGAACGCCTTAGTATCGACTTTAAAGGCCCACTTCCCTCAAACACTCGTAATAAGTACCTCTTAACAATCGTTGACGAGTATTCTCGATTCCCTTTTGCTTATCCCTGCGCCGATACGTCCTCTTCCACTGTAATTCGTTGTTTGAGTCAACTGTTTTCACTGTTTGGTATGCCTGCTTATATTCACTCAGATCGCGGTTCTGCATTCATATCAACTGAACTCAAACAATTTTTGTTCGATAAAGGCGTTGCCAGTAGTCACACCGCTGCATATAATCCACAATGTAATGGTCAGGTTGAACGACTTAATGGTACCCTTTGGAAGACCATCTGCCTGGCTCTAAAATCGCGCGGCTTGCCTGTCACACATTGGGAGGCTGTCCTCCTTGATGCTCTTCACTGTATCAGATCCCTGTTATGTACTAGTATCAACTGTACCCCACACGAACGTTTTATGCCGTTCACACGACGATCAGCCAACGGTGCCTCCCTACCTACCTGGCTTACTGTCCCTGGGCCAATCCTTTTAAAACGCAATGATCGAGTCTCTAAATATGACCCTCTGGTAGAGGAAGTGGAACTCGTCTCTTGTAATCCACAGTACGCCCACATAGTTCGTCCAGATGGCAAACACGAAACCGTATCCTTGCGCCGCTTGGCTCCCAAAGGCAACGACATGACATCCGACACAGAACAGGAACCAATACATATCGCCGAACAAGGGGAGCCTCACACAACACCAACAATCCACCGTGGTTGCTC